AAATGTCCGGAATCCCTGAGCTATCATGATCCGGAGCCTCGCTGGTTGGGGAATATTTGGGAGGTATCTGAAAAGTAATTGTACGGACTGAGGCCTCTCTGCTGGCTGGAGGACGATGGGGATTGTAGTCCCTAAGAGTGGCGTTGCTAGGCTGCGGCATTTCCTTCCGTCAGCTGGTGAGAGAGAGGGAGAAGGGTGAAAATCCTGCACAAATAGGAGCCTTGGGCAGGAAGTTATTTATTTTGACATTTGGGGGCCGAAAGTTGGCTTTTGATGTGGAAGGGAAGGGAGGAGGGAGGGACGAGGTTTCTAAGGCAAGGATCTGCGCCAGACTAAGTGGCATATGTTAGTTTTCCAGGCGGGGACTAGGGTGAAGATGCCATTACCTTAGCTGACCTCTCCTAGCAGACCTGGCATGAGAGCAAAAACTACAATGTTGTGCCAACAGCAAATACCAAAACAGGCAGCATCGGCTCATGCAGGAACTTGAAACATCTCTCTCTCTCTCTGTCTCTCTCTCTGTTGCTATTCAGTGTCGGCTTTCAGGACACAAAGATAAATATTGCCTCTGTTTTTGGCAATATTTGTTTTTTTCCTGGTGCGGTAAAGATTCTCTCTCTCTCTCTCTCTCTGTTGCTATTCAGTGTCTGCTTTCAGGACGCAAAGATAAATATCGCCTCCGTTTTTGGCAATATTTGTTTTTTCTTGGTGCGGTAAAGATAGGGGGAGGCAAGGAGAGAGGACGGCTTCTCTGCCGGTTGAAACCGAGCACATTAGAAAAACGAAGTCAAATTGCTGACCAGCTAGCTTTCTACAGGCAGGGAAGGTATGGGAAGGATTCGCATCCGGAACCAGTTGAATTCGAGCTGAATGTGGCTCTAAAGTCTACAGAAAAGAAAGGCATCTGAGATGTTGGTTGCCCTCTGAACTCTACTTGTGTCAGGAGAGGCTCTTTCTATTATCAGGAAAAAACTTCTGAACTGTTAGAGCAGTACGACAATGGAACAAATGATTTCGGCAGGTGCTGGAGGCATTGATTTGAATTCCTGCCTTATAGGCCCCTTCCAACTCTGCGATTCTGTGTTTCTATTCTATGAGTCTAGGTCAATGTGAGTGCTTGAATGAGAAAACCCACATGATGATTGCCTAATCAGTGTGGGGCACAAATACTCTATTTAGTTCTTAAGAACCAAACAGCCTTATTTCAGTGGGGGCAGCCAGAAGATTTCTCCATGGGATCGGATCTGACAGTGGCCCAATTTCCATATTAAATTTCTTATTGTTTCTAGAATCTAGGATATTTTCCTGTGAGAAAGGCATTCAAAAGGGCATAAGCAGAGCCTGGAAAAATGGTGGACTATGTATTCCAGAATTCAGAATCCTGGAAAGTCCTTTGGGGGACTACAGGTCCCAGAACTCTTTTTTTCTTCAGGATTCTGGGATTTGTAGTCCCTCAAGAGTCTCTTTTTCCAGTGTGAGGTCCGAAAAAACCCATGACCGCACATGGCCTCTATCATCCCCGATGTCGTCTTGATTCGTAGCACAGCCAATTTAAACTGGCATTTTCCCTACTAAAGGTGGTGACTTGATGAACGATTCCTACAGTTATTTATAGCCTCCCGTTCAGCGTGCAGGAAGATAACGGCCATAAACTAGGCATGATAAACATTTTGACTTTGAGAGACTAGGGAGGGGATTCCTGAATAGCCCGAAGGTCTCCCAACCCTGTGAGAAAGATATGCAGAAAAATCAGAACCCATCAGGATCCGGCCGGCAGTCGTTGAAGACCTTGTGAGGGAGGGAGACGGCTCAGATGGAGCGTGTTCTGACTCAGGTTTTGCTCACCTGCTTTCTTCGTGTCCACCCCACCGGGCAGGTGGTGATAAATCGTTCCACGTAAGAGGAAAACAGAACTGGAGAGCGAAGTTTTGATATAACAGACCAACTTCCTTCTGTCATAGATTAGCTTCATAGAATCGCACTGGCCAGAATTCTACTGGGAAATATCACATATATCAAGGAAAACGACACCATTGTATAGTTTTCTGGCCGTTTTTTCAATGCCCAGGTGCACAGCCGCATGTGTAAACTTCATCTGTCTGATAGCTAGGATGATCGGACACCAGAATTACGTAGCTTTGTGTTGACGCTGCAGAAGCCTACGAGGATTCTGGGTTTTTGGCTGGGGTTGTTCTAAAACAGAGGGCCAGTGTCATGTAGCGGAGGGAAGGTCAGATTAGGACTCAGGAGACCTGGGGTCAGATTTCTCTTTGGCTATGGAAGCACAAGGACGTGGCCGTTTTAGATAGGTTTTTAGACCGGTATTGACATTTTCCCACTCGTTTTTTTCAAAAGCATCCCAAGAGAGACATCGGCCCATTTGAGGCAGTTGTTGCTGGGGCTCTTACGACGGAATCACAAGGACCGGATGGACTTTGGTAAGAAATTCTCCCTTTGGAGACTTCCTTCCTTCCTCTTATCCATCATCACCTCCTTCCTTCTCTCCATCCATCCCTCCCTTCCTCCTCCCTTCCTTCCTCTTATCCATCAGCAGCTTCTTCCTTCCTTCTTTCCTTCCTTCCTTCCTCTTATCCATCAGCAGCTCCTTCCTTCCTTCTTTCCTTCCTTCCTTCCTCTTATCCATCAGCAGCTCCTTCCTTCCTTCTTTCCTTCCTTCCTTCCTCTTATCCATCAGCAGCTCCTTCCTTCCTTCTTTCCTTCCTTCCTTCCTCTTATCCATCAGCAGCTCCTTCCTTCCTTCTTTCCTTCCTTCCTTCCTCTTATCCATCAGCAGCTCCTTCCTTCCTTCTTTCCTTCCTTCCTTCCTCTTATCCATCAGCAGCTCCTTCCTTCCTTCTTTCCTTCCTTCCTTCCTCTTATCCATCAGCAGCTCCTTCCTTCCTTCTTTCCTTCCTTCCTTCCTCTTATCCATCAGCAGCTCCTTCCTTCCTTCTTTCCTTCCTTCCTTCCTCTTATCCATCAGCAGCTCCTTCCTTCCTTCTTTCCTTCCTTCCTTCCTCTTATCCATCAGCAGCTCCTTCCTTCCTTCTTTCCTTCCTTCCTTCCTCTTATCCATCAGCAGCTCCTTCCTTCCTTCTTTCCTTCCTTCCTTCCTCTTATCCATCATCCGCTCCTTCCTTCTTTCCATCCCTCCCTCCCTCCTTCCTTCCTATCCATGATCAGCTCCTTCCTTCTCTCCATCCCTCCCTCTACACAGTTGACTCACATCTGAGGCAACTTCTGCTATTTCTCTTTTTAAGGTGGGATTTTGTACCTCCTTGTGTTATCCCTTTGTGTTGTGTTGGAGATGCTTTTCTTTGTCTCCCAAAAGGCTGGGAGCTTCTGGGGTCTAGAGCAGTGGTTTCCCAACCTTGGGTCCCCAGATGTTCTTGGACTACAACTCCCAGAAATCTTGTCCAGCACAGCTAAGGATGACCACTTCACCACTGGCCAGGATTTCTGGGAGTTGTAGTCCGAGAACATCTGGGGGCCCAAGGTTGGGAAACCACTGGTTTAGAGAAGCAAACTCTCCCCCCCCCAACCACTGGTCTAGACTGCCAGAACCTTGGATCTCAAAGCTGTGCAATCGTTCTGTTTATTTAGGATCAGCCTCTTTGTGTTCTTCTCCACAGTTGGTTCCTAGTTGACCTCAGTGCTTGGGGTCTTCCTTAATCCAAATTGTCTTGCAGTCTGTTGTTCTTTGAGATTAAAACTGGCCATGAAAAGCCCAAAGAAAGCCTGAGGATTAACCTTGTGCGGTTTTATTCATGTGCCACTCTTTTTAACATACGAGCAGCTGGTTTGGATCTGAGAGGAAAACCGGCCGGCCACCCTCCCCTTGCCTTCAGTGCGGTTTCTTATAGATGGGGTCCATTAAACGAAAATCGAACGGGGCGATCTAAGAATTCCTTTATGTTATAGGGTTTTAACCTCTTCCCAAGTGCCTGGGTTTTTCTCCCTCTGAGACAGCCGCGAGATGGTTTAAACCAAACGCCTTGTGTTTTTTGCAGCGCAAAGAAGCTGTGTCAAGGTTGTTGGTGTGTCTTCGGTAAGCGGGCTCCTTGAGCCGCTTAAGCTCAAAGGAAATGAGGCTTAGGGGTACACCACACATCTACCCATGCCCAAGATTAGAGATGGGGACAAATAAAAAAAATGGTGATTCGTTTTCATCCGTTATTCGTCAAGGTTAACGGATCAACGAATATGAATATACGAATAATCTTTGACGAATCAACAAATTGATCTGTCGATTCGTCTGCACTTTAAACCATTATAACACTGTCCCCTGACAACCTAGAGACACCAAATTTGCCAGAAAGCTTCCTCAGACACATTTCTACAACTCCTGAATGTTTAGTGAAAATTGGATCATAGAGCCCCTCATGGACCCCTGAGTTATATTGTCACAAATAGGACCCCACAAGGAAAGTTCCCACCAGGTACTTAGAGACTCCAGAATCACAATGGCGCTTCCTATGTCTTTCCCCAACACGCCTGCTAACTTTGGTGAAGATTGGATATTGGACATTCGAGTCATTCACCCACAAATTGGGCTCCCCCCAGGAGAGTTTGCCAAATGGCACAAAGCCCATTCTGCCTACCGGCCGCCAATCAGCTGATCAGAAGCTGATGGGCAGCCACCCCCCAACATAGCCAACCACCCCAACAGCCTACCCCCACATCCCCTTCCTTAGCTCCCACCCCACTCCCACTGACAAAGATGGCGGCTGTGGCTTCATTTAGGGTAGGGAAGCTGCAGCTGCCATCTTTGCAAAGGGCAGCCTGGATTCCCTTAAGGCATGGAGATGTGGGTGCCATAAGAAATTACCTGCCTAGAATCAGTCTCCCTGGGCTTTTCACTTAATATGAAATGAGTGACAACCAAGCATGAGAGTTAGCTCCCTATTCATGTCTTCTAAAGTTGGTTTGCCTAAGGTCATCGTTACTTTCCTTTCAGTGCTATTCCCAAAACTTCCCCCGAAAACCATTTTTTTATAGAAAAAAAAGGTCAGGACTTTTATATTTTATGAATCCGTCCTCTGTTGTAGTCGATCAGCTTGTAGTAATACAGCTTCACCTGAAGGGACAAAAAAATAAAATAAAAATAAAAGTTGTATTCAACCATCCCCACTTTAATTATATATTTTCCCATTCCAGATGAATTTTTCCATCATCCTTTCTTGGACGCAAGTGCCTCTATGAAGAAATGTAAGTTGGCGTCATCATTTCGAGGTCTGTTTTGTGAGGGTTGGTTCATCTGTGTGTGATCTATGTGTTTCAGATGGATCTGGTGGGGGGCAGGTTTTCAAAACATGTATATTCTCCCTCGAAGCCAATTTGAAATGTGCTCTCTGTCATTCCGTACGTGACATTGCTTGCTTCTCTTAGACAGTGAATTCTGTTTCCTGAGCATCGGAACCCCGTGTAATTCAGAATCTGTTTAAAACTCTTATACCCCCCCCAAAAAAAACACATAACAACAAAGCATAAGCAGTTGATTAAAATACACACACACACACACCACCACCACCATGTCATGCCAGGACAGGGAGCTAACTAAGCCTCTGGAGTCAACCGGGGGGCCACAACATGGCCAACAACAGAGATCTTGGTAAATCCAAGACCCACCTTTCTCAGACTACTCCCTGGAGAGTAGCACAGTATTTCTTGAATATTTATTTATTTATTTTTAAAAATATTTCTTTCTTTCTTTTTTTAAAGCACTACAATATTTGAATATTTATTTCTTCCATATTTGTTTATTTCTTGGAATATTTTTGGATCTGTTTGTTGGAGCATTGATTGATTGATTGATTGATTGATTGATTTGCAAAAAGCTCCACATATAATCAAAACCGGGCCGCTCCACCCTGCATGATTCAAAGGGAGGAAAGAAGGCCGAGAGGAGAGAGGAGAGCCCTTTTCAAAGACTTGAAAGGTCCTCCGACAGAGGAGGGGCAGGATCTGTTCTTGATCATCCCCGAGTGCAGGACACGTAACCATGGGCTCAAGTGACGGAAAGTCAGTTCTAAGCTGAATGTCAGGAAAAACTTCTCAACTGTTAGAGTAGTACGACAATGGAACCGATGACCTCGGGAGGTGTTGAGCACTCAAACAAATTCAAGGGAAAAATGGACATCTGTGAGTCCTGGCTGCTTTAACTTAGATTTCTGCATTGAGCAGGGAGTTGAACTCAATGTTCTTATAGGTCCCTTCCAACTCAATTATTCTATCGTTCTGCGTAATATGTGAATCAATATGAGCATCCTGTTGTACGATGCCAGAAAAGGCATTTTATTATGCGATCAAAACAGGCAGCTCCAGTACCCTCCGGCTAATGTTTGCAATAACAACATAGAAACGTTTTTGGTTCTTAGCCCGGGATGTTAATGCTTGCAGTTTCAGGATGACCTACGCATTTCGGTTGCCCTGACTTGCCGTGACCGCTTTAGATGTAATCTTCATAATGGCAGTGGCTGCTCTTTGTTACTTGTCTTGTGCCTGGGCGAAAGGCGTCCGGCATAGGTCGGAATGGAACAGAAATTTGTTTGCTTGAAAGCCTCGGGCAGTGGATGTAAGAAATGAGTTTGCCAAGTTGGGGGTGGAAGGTGCCACGGTGTAGAGGGGGGAATGTGGAAACACCTGAGCCTCTGAATTTGGGAGCATTGAATGAGTCAGTGAATCAACCTAATACAGTGGTGCCTCGCTTAATGATTGCCCCACATTACGACGAATCCACTTTACAATGATCTTTTTGCAGTCGCAATTGCAATTGCAAAACGATGGTCTAAATGGGGGAATTTCGCTTAGCGATTTTCACTTTACGACGATCAAAAACAGCTGATCGACGGGTTTTCAAAATGGCCTCCGGGTGCTTAAAATGGCTCCCCGCTGTGCTTAGGGACGGATTCCTCGCTATACAAACAGCGAAAATGGCTGCCGTATGGAGGATCTTCGCTGGGTGGTGAGTTTTTACCCCATTGGAACACATTGAACGGGTTTCAGTGTGTTTCAGTGGGGTTTTTAATTTCACTTTACGATGTTTTTGCTTAACAGCGATTTTCCTGGAACCAATTATCGTCATTAAGCGAGGCACCTCTGTATAAAACACTGCTTTGCATGCTTGGTTTAGAGCTTGGAAAATTCCCTGTTCTGGACTAGACATTTCTGCACCTCTTAGCCAGTCTTGCCAGATGCAGATTCTGGAAGGTAAACTATAATAATATGCCAGGAAGTCAATTCTGACTGATGGTGATTTTTTTCCCCCAGATAGAGAATATTTAGAAGGGGTTTACTCTTCCCTTCTTCCGTGGGCATCTTGGGACTGTGCAGCTTGCCCAAGGCCACACAGGCTGGCTTTTCTGAAATGCCCAGTGGGGATTTGAACTGCCAACCTCGGACGCCAAAGCCCAATAACTAAGCCACTGAGCTATCCGGTCAGCTTCTGTGGAAGGGAAGACTCTGCTTGGTGCCAGAGTTTAAATCAGGCACTGTGTGTTGACACAGTTCTTTTGAAAGAAGCTTGTGGAAATAGATTAGAAAATCGTAGCTATCTGAAGCAGTTGTCTCATGTCTGGTGGGTATGAAGTTGGGAGAGAAACCATCGGGGTGGGTGATCCTTTAGGTGAATGGGAGCGAGACACTGGGGGTTGATTCCCCACTATGCCTTCTTGACACTGGACTGGACTCGATGGTCGTAGAATTGTTGTGGCTCAAAAGCTGAATATGAGTCAACAATGCAATGTGGCTGAAAAAAAGGAAAAATGCAGTTTTAGGATGCATTAACAGAAATATAGCCTCCAAATCCTGCGAGGTTGTAGTTCCCCTCTATTCAGCACTGGTTAGGCTTCATCTAGAGCAGTGGTCCCCAACCTTGGGCCTCCAGATGTTTTTGGACTACAACTCCCAGAAGCCTTCACCACCACCTCTGCTGGCCAGGGTTTCTGGGAGTTGAAGTCCAAGAACATCTGGAGGCCCAAAGTTGGGGACCACTGGAGGCATTCAAGAGAAAATGGGACATCCCTCGGTCAGATCTGCTTTGATTTGGATCCCTACCTTGAGCAGGGAATTGGACTCAATGTCCTTGTGGGCCCCTTCGAACTACATGATGCTATGATCTATAAGATCCCTTCTTGTAATCAGTGGGAAGACATGTTGTAGGAAAAAAAAATACCATAAAGCCATCCTGTCTTTTTTTGTTTAACTTAAAGGGAGTCAACTTACCCTGAAATATTCTGCACTGGAAACCTCTAGGAATATCTAGACTTTCTTTCTTTTTTTTTAACCGCCACTGTTTTTGAAACAAGTGCTTTGATTTCTTGCTGGCCCTCATTTCAAATAATGCAACCCCCTCCACCCTTACCTGCATTTAGGTGGTGCTCCTGCGGGCAGAAAAAAATTCTCCTGGTTTAGGGCGGCCGCTACCACCAAGCCTTCCCAGTCCTTGCCTTCACCTCCGGGATCCCCCTGGGGAGACCACCTTGAAGAGCATGGCCGTCCTCGAAACCGGAAAGGTTACGCCCGTCTCAAGGGTATCAAGAAACCAGCCGATCCTCCTGCCCCTACGGCCGTGCCTTTGTGGCAGGTGGTTTCGACCCAGTCGGAGCCGCTCGCCAACCGAGAAGGATCGTCCCAGCCCTTGCCTGCTCTACGGGAACCCCGGCCGACGCCACAAAAGGCTCCGCCTTCTGCCCCCGTGTTGTGGAAGCCAAACCAACCGGGATCGCCGCGAAAACAAGAACGGATTTTCTTGACTTGGCGCCCGTCTCAAGGGTATCAAGAAACCAGCTGATCCTCCTGCCCCTACGGCCGCACCTTTGTGGCGGGTGGTTTCGACCCAGTCGGAGCCGCTCACCAACCGAGAAGGATCGTCCCAGCCGTTGCCTGCTCTACGGGAACCCCGGCCGACGGCCCGAAAGGCTCCGCCTTCTGCCCCCGTGTTGTGGAAGCCAAACCAACCGGGATCGCCGCGAAAACAAGAACGGATTTTCTTGACTTGGCCACCCTTCCCTTCGCTGCCCTCCTATTCGGGATACCTGCGTGGGGCCGTCCCGCCAAAGCCGCCAAACCAAGATAGGCAAAGACGGGGTCCTCCCATCCAGCTGCTTTCTCCGGTCTCGTCTGCCCCAGTGCCCTGGGACACCGGCCCCATACAACGTCCGTGTCCGCAGGCACTTATGGGCCCAGGGTTGCCCCTGAGAAGACCACGTCCTACTTACCTCTGGGTATAAACCAGGAGCAAAGCATCTTAATGTGAACCAGCATTCTGGAGGGCAGTGGTTCCCAACCTTGGGTCCCCAGATGTTCTTGGACGCCAGCTGTCAGAAATCCTGGCCAGCCCAGTGAACGGTCCCTGAAGCTTTCCCCACTAGATGTGCTGGCCACGATTTCTAGGAGTTGTTGTATCAAAATATCAGGGGACTGGAGGTTGGGAATGACTGGTATAGTGGATGAAATGTTGGATGATGACTTGGGGTCAACTGATGCTGAGCCATGAGTTGGTCTTAGCCATGGTACAGTCACTCCTTAACCATCTCACCGAAATGTTGGATGATGACTTGGGGTCAACTTGCGCTGAGCCATGACTTGAGTTGGTCTTAGCCATGATACAATCACTCCTTAAGTATCTCACATATCTTGAAAAACCCTGCTGGAGTCAACAGCAGCGAAATGGCGTCCTCTGTCCACACCCTCCTCGTTCCAGAAAAGAAGTCGTACTGCATGTCCCAGGTTAGGATGGCTAGGAATGCTTACTTTCGTATCATGAAAGCGTGCATGAAAGAGCCTAGATCCACCTTGAGGTCATGCATTTTGGTGCTAAGTCTTGCTTTTGTGGTCTTTGGGTCCGGATTTTCTCAAACACTTAACGAGATGGCCAGTTGACTAAGAGAGTGGAGCTCGCCTTCTGCGGTCAAGCTGTGTTTTATCCAGACTGCATGAAGAGGTCCTCCAGGTGTTGGAGGTAGAGCTTCCCAAGAACCATGTAATGAATGGGACGGGAGAAACACGAGGTTGCTTGCTGAGTGACAACCTGGCTTGACGCTGAGTTCTCTAGACATTGTTTGAAGAAAAATGGCTACTTAGGTTGCCCTGTTCGGTGCTTAAAAATGGGAAGCAAGGATGGATGAACACCAGGACCTACTTTATTGAGGTGGATCATTCACCGAGTGTTGGATGCTAAAGCTGCTTCCAAGGGTATGTACCCTTTC